CATCACCTTAAACTAAATAGGTTGAATACAAATCATATAATTTAGCATTAATTGATGATAATCGCAGCAATGCTAAAAAATAATTTAAGATGAAAAGTTGATATTTAAGACTTCATGAGCATGAACAGTTTAATTTTTGAGCTAAAAGCACCAATTTTACACGTATCCAACCTCATCCAGTCCTTTCTCTACACAAAAGTGTTCCATTTACTTATGGGCACTTTTGTAGCGGCCGAGTTCACCGGGCTGCAGTCTCCGATGGTTTGCTCATTAGAGGCAGCAGAATCGGCGATTCCTGAGGAGACCAACATCAGGGCTCAACGTCAAGCCCTCACAAGACATTGCCCTAAATCCGATCAAGGGGCTGTTGCAGATGGCGGCCGACATGCCTCAGAACAAGACAGCTTGTCTTTGAGCTATGGCAGAAATCTGGTAGCCTCAATAGCCCGGATCATAGACGGTGCTACGGAGAGCGAGTTCGAGATTTATTTGGAGAAGGAATTTTTTCGTGCTTTCCGAGGTTGCAAAAGGACAGAGGTTCGTATCCTACAAACTAGCACTATTCTACGTTGCTTGCACGGGTAGGCTCAGACAGCAGTTAGGGTCTAAATTAAGATTATAAGGGGTAGTTTTTTATGTAAATAGTGGACAAGTTTCAGACCCTGAGGAGAGTACAAATAAAATATTGCTTACTTCACTCGGGATAAAAGATAGCAATTCTAAAACTATCCTCAAAACCGTGCAACATTATAATAAGTCAAGACCAGTTTGGGAACCTCCAGATAGATCTATCATTAACATGTTTGTTTGCAGGGCTTGATGAATAGCAACTTGAACTTTGGTATAGCTTTGCGTATACTGTCGAACTAATTCGTACAATTTAGAAAAACTGCCAATTCCGTCCGATCATTTTTTTCTTCAGTTGATGTAATTGACTTTGGAATATGGCGTCTTTATTAATCTTGATTAAAAAGGACACATCTGTAATTATATGTATAAAAGAATTTATGCAAAGTTTAAAATTCAAATAATAATAAATAAAAGCCAAGAATATATTACCATAATCACAGCAGATGAATATAGCTTCGTGCGAGAGCCATTTAATTATGGCTGCATCCAAGTGCTCTTTGGAAGGGATCAAAATTGATCTCTCTCCACTCACTTTAATATTTCTGAGAGACATCTTTGTCTGGACGTCATGAAGATTCTTCATTATTTAAATTGGCATGGAAGAGTGAGTTCCAGCGGCGAAATACTTCTGTTGTTAACACAAATCTTTAAAGCAAAATACTAGTTTCATGTGAATCAATGTGTTCTGCTGCAGTTGATTCTGAAAAAAAGGGCAAGAAATGAAATCAAAAACTATTTATTTCTCTTAGTTCATCAATAATGGAGAGGAGCAGTTGAGTTATATTAAGGCTATGGAGAGAAAATAATAAATTCTTCAGGAATCTCTTGGTTCATATTAGTTGAGGCTATTTCCATTTTGCCTGAATGTGTAAGGTGACTGGATTGACTGGAAACTATGGGTTTATGCTGCCATAAAGGCAATCTCTGAAGCCAACGCGACTCCAGGTTATTTCTCCACGGAAACTGGGAAATTAAGCGAAAGCAACTTTTGACTCTTTATGCTTAGTCGCTCTTTCAATTCCGATAATAAAGTATGGTCTTCACACTCCCATTCTTAGACTATAAGGAAGTACCATGACGGATCGCAAGATAGGAGTTGCTAGCATAAGGTGGTCAATCAGGCATTTTTATGGCCTTAACTAACTACGGTTGACATAATTCTAATAAAAATTTTCTCACTCACACTTCACATACTTTTGCTAGGCTATATTCAAAGCCTATCTCTCCTTATGGTAGCTTGCTACAAAACTCTATCCGAGTTTTTAGTCATGTGATTACCTAGCCCTGAGAGAAGGCATCGGAAGAAACTCGACACTTCGGTTTGTGTGACCCCAACCCTTCAATGTTCTAATAAAAACTAATTTCTCATATTTAATCCACATCTAAAGGAAACCTTGTGATAGGTCGGAATCATCCGTTTAAATCAGTGGGTACAGTGAGTGTGAGTATAGATATCCTATGGCTGAAATATGATCTACTCTCAAATTACTCTGCGAAGGGTTGACGTCGCCACTCTTGGAAGCCACGGATCCGATATTCCCCATGCTTTTGGATTGAGTACCAATCGACCGCGATTTGATCGAGTAAACAGATTTTAGATGGAATGCAACTGACAAATTAGGATTTACCCTACTCATTTTGCTTTGCTAAGTGGGCATAGAGTAGATAATTTTATTTACTAAATTGTTTTTCTTAATTTTTGAAAAATTCTATATTTTCATATTTGAGATGTTATATATTTATATTATATGTATATTTATTTATTTATTTGAAATTTTTTCTATTCTCTTCTATTAAATATTATGTTTGTATTATATATATGTGTGTAT